ATTTGATTTGTAGTTACTGACTTTTTTTAAAAAAAATTCTTTGTTTTTTATTTTGTTTTCTTGACCTTCTGATTATTTCATTCTTACTTTTTCTTTCTTATTTCATTTTGATTATTGCACGGCTTGATTTTGTTACTTTTAATTGTTTCATTTTATTATTGCATTGTTTCATTGTGATGATTTCATTTTGATTACTACATTGTTTGCTTTATGACTATTTTTGGTAGCGCTTATTTATTTTTAGTACCGTTTATTTTATTTATTTTATTTCTGTATCTTGGTTTTTTAATCTTATTTATAATATTAGATTTTATGTATGGTGTTTGACTTAATTTTCTTTTGTGTCATTGCATTTTATTTTATTAACATGGACTTTATTTTATTTTGCACAGTTTTTCCTTTTTTTTTTTTTAAGTTTTCTTCTTTTCTGTTTTAATGACTTTTTTCCCCCCCTTTTCTTTGCTGCCCCTGTGCCCCACTGCTGAGATGCTCCCCGCAGCCTGGAGCAAGGAGGGCACCGGGCCTGCATGAGTAATGAGCCGCTGCACAGAGCAGATTGTGGATGGCACACGCTGCTGCTTTGCATCTCTATAGCGGGCGCACAATGGCGGAGGTCTGGCGTGTGGCAGTTTGGAGTTCAGACAATGGATTCTTTTTTTTTTCCCCCCCCTTCATAGCAACACTGTCCACCTGCCACTGGGGTGGGGATTTGCTGCTGGGCTGCAGGGGGGGAGCAAGGGGAAAACAATCGCGTTACTCTCTGGTGCTGTCCAAGCTGTTGGTGCAGATGAATGTCTCCACTTGCCCACACTTCCACGGGGCAATTGAAATTGAATGTTGAGGCCTGGGGAACACGCGATCCTCTCCAAGTTAAAGACTTGACCATTTACCCCTTTGTTTTAACCCTTATCTTTTAAGAAACTGTAGGGAAACCAGCAAGATGAGTCTGAGAGAGGTAGGGGAAAAGGGACCTACAGAGGTCACCTGGTCCAACCTCCTGCCTGAGGCAGGATCATCCATATCCAAACCATCCCATAAATCCAGAATCTAAACTATATAAGACTTCTGTCAACCCTGACACAACACAGGCCTAGCAGCCTAACCTGCCACAGGTAAAGCCAGGGAACCAGGGCACCCAGTGTCCTGCTTTGATGAAACGTTGTCAATATATGCCCAAGAGGTCTTGGGTAGGTCGCCATGCTCCACCATTACAGAGCAAGGCAAAAACCCCTACAATCCATACCAATCTGACCATCTATCCATTTGCTCTGTGCAAATAAATCTCCTCCCCACCCCGGTGCAACAGTATGTGATCGTTTTTGTGGACACCAAAGAAGTGGGCACAGTTTGTAGCAGGGTTGGGTTTCTGAGCTCAGGCTGGGCCAAATGCACCCGCTTATCTTGACAATCTGAGTCCCGTTTTACGAGCTCTGCAAGTCATTTCAGTTCATAGAGTTTAATTGTTCATTTCCCCTGAAATCCCTGTTGCTGCCTTCTACTTTGGCTGCATTGTAATGCTGGCTAGTAGCGCTATCTACTGGATGTGTAAACACCAAATTAGAATCACAGAAAATGAGGGTTGGAAGGGACTTCAGGAGGTCATCTAATCCAACCCCCTGCTCAAAGCAGGACCATCCCCCCCCCCAACTAGATCATCCCAGCCAAAACTGTCTAGCTGGGTCTCAAAAACCTCCAAGAATGGAGATCTCCACCAGGCTTTCTGGGGAACTTGTTCCAGTGCTTTACTACCCTGTTAGTGAGACAGTTTTTCCTAATACGGCACCTAAACTTCCATAGCTGAAAACTGTATCATCTTGTCCTTCCTGGAAGCACTGGGAAGAAGCAGCAAAAGGATTTACTGGAAAAAGGAATGAGCCACTGAAAGCAAACCCAGTAAGGGACATAAATTATGCTGTAATGGATGAGCAAATTCTCTGAAGGTGATGTCTAATTTCCCCGTGCTCCTTACAGAATACAGGGCAGCTGTTTCTTCACACAAGATTTGCATTTTCTAGGAGAATGGTAATAATCAATATTAAAGTTGAACTGCCACCTTGTGGCTTCAGGTTGTAATAGGAAAAGAAAAAAGGAGACAGTTATTTTCTTCTGGGGAAAAAAGAAAAATATGGGGTTAATTATTAAATGCATGGAAGCCGCTATTTGTAAGTGTATGACACCTGTGCTACCTAGATAAGCGGAATACAACTGATACAATATTCATATAAATTTTTCAGAATATGCTTTAGTTATTCACTTAAATCATATATTGCAACCCCCTGCCCCCAACATACACATTTCTTTTCATATATTATACTAACACCAGTATATATACCCTCATTCATTTTGGTTAGTGAAAATCAGTTATGTCACTTTCTATTTAAAGGTTTGGGGCTGCAATATTTTTTTCCAAGTGTAGTAAAGTAGCAAAAGGTCACGTCTACACAGACACTGACTGCAGTTGTTACTGCGCAGTCATTTAGTACTTGCATACCCAAGTACTTAATGACTACACAGTAACTGGCATTACTGCACAGTTGTATCTCCACATGGCTTCCTGGTCATGCTGACTGCATGGTGGAAGCTTGTTATTAATGCACAGTAGCATCATGTCATGGTTTGTGCCACACAACACTACTGCACAGTCATAACTAGCTACTATGCAGTAAACGTCTCGTGTAAACGGGGCCAGAAAGTTCTAAACTCATTCAGTGCTTTGCAACCTGATGACTGTAATCACAATTTTAATGAACTTTGACTTATAACGAAACTAGTGTGTGCGTGCTGGAAGGAGGGGAAGAAAAGGAATAGAGAATAATTTAACACAGATCCAGATTGGTTAAAGTAATCTAGAACAAAAAAAAGTGCATGTATTTGGGTACGCAGTTACTGAAATGGTGTATCTGCACATATTGAATCTTCCAAGTGTCCCTTATCATTTCCAATTGATTTTTTTTTTAAATTGTATGCGTCTGCACACACATTAAAATACCAAAACATTACTGTTTTGACATCCAGGTACTTAAAGGCCTCCTACCCTCATGGTTCTGAATTCATTCCATTGTTCTTGGGTACTATAGCACATATGGTGCATAAGACAAGAGTGTCCCCAGACTGCTGCTACGGTCTGCTGGGTCAGAGGGAACCATTAAAACCAGGACTTCCAGTTTTTGCATTGCATTTCCTTGCCACATTTTCTATGTGCTATTTGCAGTGGAGTGAAATGACTTAAGAACATTTGCTGAGAAATTAGTGTCAGTGGTTAGGAGACAGATTAGGATTTCAGTCCTTTTCTCTACACAGCCAACTCGTGTACTCTGAGCAAAGTAACACAGAAGTGCAGTGGAAAAGCCAGATGGAGAGGAGGGAAGAAACAGCTTGGAAGTGGGGCAAAGGAAAAAAAGCCGGCATAGAAGATATGCAGAGGGACAATATGAACCAAAGGTGAAAGGGTTAAGCCCCACCAGGATGCAGGCTGTTCAGTTTTGAAAGGCCATGCCGATGCCACCTTTAATGTCTAGTTTTAAAAAAAAGTTTTAACAAAGCCTGGCCCCAGTCCTTCATTCATGATTCTGTCATATCCTTGTCACTCCCCTGTTCGTTTTAATTAAACTTTGTAAGAAAGAGATCACACATCATTTTCAATTTACAACATAACTTGAGCAGGTTAAGTAAAGAACAAGGATTCTGAATATTCTGCTTTTGTGAGTTTAAGTCACATCCTCCAGGTTCACTTTAACCTTGGACATATTCAAGCTTCTTTGGACACAAAAATTATCTTCAGGGCTCTAATCATTCTCAGCACCTAACAGCGATTCATAACTACAACTACAAATAGTTACAACTTTGTACTTTGCAAAGTCAGTATTGTCAGTCCATTCCCACCTACACTCAGCCCCCTCCCTTGCACCCAGAGGTGTAACAAGCAAGTTCTGTGACCTGGCCAGCAGTGACAGAGGCTGTAGCAGGCAGGCCAGCAGTAGTGGCAAATAACCTTCTTGCACCCCCTCTCAGTCAGTGGCCCAGAGTTGATTGCCCACCCCTACACTACTGCCCCCCTACCAGAACTCGCAATTATATAAATAAAACGTAGTATTTTTCACTACGTGTGATGTACTGAGGAGGAGCAGTAGATCTCCATGGAATCAACAGTTGAGGGCTTGAAGCTTTAGATAGAGCAGGGGTGCTCAATCCCCAGTCTGTGGGAGCCCCATGGGCCATGACCCTAAGGATTAGATCTAGCATGCAGGGTGGCATGGAGCCTGATCCTGACAAGGAGGGTTGAGCAGAGGCAGCATGGGGCCCCAGAGCTCCGATCCCAGCACATGGCATCCAGCAGAGATAGCATGTACCCGAAGCCAATCCCTGCATGGGGCACTAGGTGTAAGTGGTGTGGGGCCCCAGAGGCTGTTATCCACACATGGGGTTGGGTGGAGGTGGTGCAGGGTCTGGGGCCCCAACCCAAGCATAGGGGGGCTAGGTGGCAGTGGAATAGTTCAGATTTGAGTGCGCAGGCCTGCAACGCAGGGTCCTGGGGCACGGGGTCCAATCCAGCCTGTGGACCA